GTACTGCGGCCGGTGACGCTACCTTTCCTCCGGGAGGTACCAAACGCCATTTTCCAGCAGGATAACCCCTGACCTCACACAACACGCATCAGCCAACAAGCGCTGCATGAAACTTCGGTGCTTCCATGGCCACCAGTCTCTCCAGTGATCTCTCACCCATAGAACACGTCTGAGACCTAATTGGACGTCGTTTGCGTGCGCTTCCACAGCCGCGTTCAGAAGATGAACTGTGGCTGATGGTTGACAGGGAATGAACAGGCATCCCTCAGGACAACATCAGCACGCTCACTGAGTCAGTACAAAGACGTGTTGCTGCCTGTATAGCGCCCGCTGTGATCCTACAAAATATTGAGTGGACGGCGATGTTGCTCAATGTAAATGTGTATTCTGTTCTAATAAAGATCATTTATTTTGTTCGTTACTGGTAATCTCTTAATGCAGATTTTTTTCATAACCTTTTGCCCACTAATTCTTGGTGTTGAAAATTCAGTGTTACGTAGTGTTTAAATATGTAAATTGTCCAATATATATATTGAGAAAAAGGGCATGTTTCAAGACGCCCCAAAGACCAGCTTTTTTGGTCGTTGAGGTATAGGTTGCACCACGCTGACGAGGGCCAACAGCCCGAAACGCGTACGTATTAGCTTTTCTTGATCAATCAAGAAACGGCATTTGGCCAATTCTGGAATAATTAAAAATCAACGATTAGTTGATATTTATTCCGATAGATGGCGCAAGCCATCAGCAACTTTTAGTTACACGATCAGGAAATGCCCCTTTTCTCAATTTATCTACCTGATCCAAGTACAAATTCACTTTTGTACAATTTTTCACATATATATATAGATTATTAAAAATACACTTTAACTTACAATATATTGTATGATTATTCGTGTTTATAACATGGCTTGATATAAGGGATCCCCCGACAAAGCTTGTAACTTATAAATAATAGTAAAAAAAAGTTTAGCGTTCATATATATATATTAATTTTGATATAGACCTAATCCTACTCGACATCGAGTTTGGATGACAGTGGCAGGTACAGAAGAGAGAGTCCACGCAGCTTCGATTTTATTCCGTAGTTCTTTGACTGGACTGGTTGGAGAGGGGTGGCGTGCTAGTCTCTCTGCATCCGTGGACCGGGAGCTTTTAATTGATGAGAAATCTGGAAAACATTATGGCCAGGGAAACAGACGAACACCCTCTGTCTCGAGGAAAGAAAATACAGCTTGAGTGACATGAGGTAGAAAGTTCCATTAATTGCCAGAAATGCAAACTATAGCTGACCGTGATGTGTACCCAGTAACACAAGCCTGCTGCCTTGTAGATGGTGTTCGCTAACCACGGGCTGCAACCGCTGCCTTTATGTGTGGAGCATGAATACCATCAGAAAACTACCATCCTGTTCTTTATTCCTTTGCTTGATGGACTTTGGTGGCCATGGAATCTTGCATGGTGGAGGAGAGATTTCTGGTAATTGCCAATGTGACCACAAGATGAGCTTTCAACATAGCACAAAAGAAACAAAGCTTGATTAATAAAAAATATTTTTATTCTGTAAAATATTTAAATACAATATAATTTACATATAATAACTACCTAAATTTTAAAATAGTAAAATGTATATACAGTTATAAAATAGTCTTATTGAATACATAGCAAATTTATCATAGAGCTTAATCATAGTAGAGGTAATGTATATAGCTTTCACAATTTTTTAGGGAAAATGATAGTCTAATTTTCCAAAAGAGGATATATCTCATTTTGAAAATGCCTTAAAACAATGTATATCTCGAAAGACTCTGCCTAAAGAGCGCAGACTCAGATCAATGAAACAGCCACAACGACAGATTTGGCAATTTTGACAAACCTACATACCATGGATTCTGGCTATGACCCTTACCTGTAACATCCTACGAGAGGAGGAGTACCGTGGCCCGAAACACCACAGTATACAAGTTTTTTTTTTAATTTACCAAATATGATGTTTATTTTACCGGGATTAATTTAATGTACTAAAAGAAAGGTCATTTCTCTCGCCAAAATAGGCGCTAAAGCTAAGTGCTATCTATCGACCGTCTCAGCAAGCTAGCGGACTCGGATAGGTGACAAAGCCACACCAGCTTCGGAAATTTATAAAATACCGCTTGACTGATTTCATGAGATCCACACCGGATTCCTAAAATCTTCAGAAGGGGCAAAAAAAAAAGTGTTCATCTGATAAAGCGGCTAAGTCAATCTATGGTCAAAATACCTCTTTGGAAAATTATGAAGGCATTTTTAATAATTTATGAATATTTCTTGAAATCAAAGCCCGCTGCCGACTGAAGAGGTCCATTAGCCATAAACCATGGTCTTCAAGTAGGCGCTCTGAATTTGCAATGTTGGTTTTATGGCTTATTCACCGACCCGAATCTGCTACTTTGCGGAGGCGGTCAATAAATTGCGTTTAGTTTTAGCGTATGAGGGGAGAGAGGAGACTTTTTTTTATAAACTGGAGTGTTGGGTCATAGTCACACTTTGAGAAATGCATTATTCTATGTATTTTTAAAATTAGAGATGTCCTCTTTTGGTATTTATATACTTTATTATATATATACAAATAAAAAAAGAGAGTCTTTATTAACATTCATGTAAACCGAATTTTATAGAAAACTAATAATTATTTACATATGAGGAAGTTTAAGGATGAATCACCCATTTGATCCAGTGCTTGTTGAGTGGCGTTGTAGCATGGATGAAACCTTTGTAGCGCACTAACGGTGTCTCTCGAGGTGATGGCAACAAGAGACGACCATTGGTACACAACAAAGGATTTCACATCTTACAGTGGGGGAACGGATGCAGACTCCAAAGGAAAGTCTTCTCTTCATCTCCAATGCTGGGCAGACACTTTCACAGTCGTGATGCTTTCTTGCGGGGTCCCACTTGTAGGTCTTCTTGTAGGTCCGTATGCCGCCGTGAGAGCTGCAGCAATAAGCGCGCCTGTTTACCACATGCTCTCTCAGCCTTCTATACAAGTCTTCAGTTGGTTCATACTCTCAACACAAGCCGTGATAGATAGTGTTCTCTTTTATGGTTAAAGTTTTTCGGAACAAGGAAGATATTCTGCAATGCTTCGGTCTTGGAAGGTACTCACAAAATAATTTTTTTTAACGATCTCGCTCAAATAGTGTGGTAGGTTCATTATTTTTAATTCTCTCAAGTTCACTCAACAAGAGGAGAAGTACACTCATAGACAAAACTTAAGGAAGTGGAAAGTCTTTGATGTGGCCAGTCGTCTGATTTTTGAAAGAGACATAGGCAATTTTGTTCACATTTGGTTATCTCGTGTGTCTTCAATAAAGGCTACTGTGTAGCAAATATCTTTCAGAGTTATTGTCTGAATCCTAATATACATGCAAAAAGGTACACCTTCCTTAAGTTTTGTCCTTGAGTGTATATTACTATTGTTTAAATATTTACTTTAATGGGATAAATACAAAATCTAATATTGACATCATATTTAATATATGAAATTTTTAAAATTCAATATATAATATATAGTAGTAATTTTAAACACAAACAACATATACCGAAATCTTTTAATATCATTAAATAGTATAACGAAATGCATTCCATAAGGCAATGCGTGGAATCACAAAAACTCTACTCTAGATTATATATATATATATATTTTGAAGATTGAGCAATCCATAATTAAATTTATATTTTAAAAAAGATGCATATATTGGATTTATAATGAATTTATTGTTCCAATATTTCGATTAATTTAGAATTAATATGTATGCACACAATTATTTACGGTTACACTGTTATATATAAATCTCTATTTCAAGCACAATGTGTAGACAAAATAATAATAATGGTATTTATCTGTAATAATATATATAATTATTAGCTGTATATATACTGAATGTAATATTTAAATCAAAGATACAATTCTTTCATTGGCCTTGTAGAACGAGAGTGGTGTACACGTGCGCGCATGCTTTAGTGAGAAACACAAACATCCTCGATAAAGAGAGGCGAGTTGCCCCTCGAAATATTGGAACAATAAATTCATTATAAATCCAATATATGCATCTTTTTTTTTTAAATATATATATATCGTTTGAAATTTTCTTTTAATCGGCTTTGTTTTTATCGCGGGAAAAATTATAGACGTGTTCCAGTATACTTCAATTGTCGATTAAAGGCGTTCCACTGTCATTGTATATAGAAGTAATAGCGGGCATATGACGTCTGGGCCTTGGGAGAGTGAATAATATATATATTACGATGCACTTGCGCGCCATCTGTTATCAAAATTTGAAACTATTTTAAGCGCGTAAGATTCTTTTTAAAATTAAAAAAATTCTACTGCCCTTACTGCAATGGAGTATACTTATTGAGAATTGATTTTTTGATTTTTCAATAAATTCGTCCATCAATTTAAGCCGTTATCTACTAGATGGCAAATCTGAGTACAATGCCACCTCGGCCTACGCTCTACCCTACTCACTAGAGCGCGGAGTTACGCGGTTTTAAATACCGTAAGGATATATATATTTTAATCGTATCATATTTTAAAAGATACCTCATTGTGGGGTTGAAATATGCGTATATAATCATTAAAAATTATAGAGAAAATAAAACGATAAGAGGTTAACACCCACACAATGAGTTTAATGTACAGAGAAGCTAGGTTTCAGACACATGCTCATCCATAGGCCTATCTATAGAATAGAGAAATACAAGAATACTATATATGTTAAAACATTTTTAATATAATATTTACATAAAAAGTTTTAGCACAAACATATTTTCACCTACACACATATATTGACTTCTTTTATTGATCCATTTTATAGATATACCCCTGTGGAAGGCAACACGTCACCGCAAGCTAGTTTTTGTGCAATAAAATTCGTTTCTAGCAACTTTATTGGTGTTTGAAAGAAACTATGTTATATTCTTCGCTAATACGAGACAGAAACAATACGAAAATTGTTTCATGTGATATAACCTTGCTCTTCTTAGAATTGGAAATTAAATGTGACGATGTCAACAGGCTGTTGGGCTCATACATCCAGAAGCTGGCAATTGATGAGCTCATAGGGAAGCCTCAACAAAACGTCACTGGGGTATGCAACAGTTACTACCAGAAAAGCAACGGTTTTTACAAGAAAAACAACGATTTCAACCAGAAAAGCAATGGTTTCTGCCAGAAAATCAACCGTTTCTACCAGAAAAGCAACAGGTTATACCAGAAAAGCAACGGTTTTCTATAAGAAAAAAAAAACGGTTTCTATCAGAAAGGCAATAATTTCTACCAAAACAAAAAAGAACAACAGTTTTTATCAGAAAAGTAACGGTTTTTCTATCAGAAAATCAACGGTTTCTACCATAAAAGCAACGGTTACTACCATAAAAGAAACGGTTTCTATCAGAAAAGCTACGGTTTCTATCAGGAAAGCAACGGTTTCTACCAGAAAAGCAACGGTTTCTACCAGAAAAGCAACGGTTACTACCAGAAAAGCAACGGTTACTACCATAAAAGAAACGGTTTCTATCAGAAAAGCCTATTGCAATTGAAAGCTTGCAAGCAGTTTTAGTTCGATCGATGAAGGAATATAATTTTAGAAAACATAGAGACGAAGCAAGAAAATAATTATTAGATTGCTAAGAAGTAAATTTTTTTGAATAAAGAAAAGATATATCACATTTTTTCTGACTCTAGTTTTCTAGATATTATGAAACAATCATCACAATAACTATTCTAAAAACTCTTTTTTTATAATGGAACCCATCTCACTCAAAGGACTGAAGTGAATGGCAGAGTAACACAGGTTAGAGATTAAGACAAGTGTTACTGGAGTTATCATAACTTCTTCATTCTCATCCCAATGTCATTCAGGCGATATCACGAAGTCTGCTTCAACCAGCCAGACGGGTCAGGTTCTCGGCTGCAGCGGCAGAGTAAATTAAAAATCTCAGTAAAATAATTTTAATCAATTTTTATATTTGTGGGTTATTGTTTTGAAACGTCCTGTTTTTAATTATGGTTCTTCTAATAAGGTAGGAAAAGTCAACTACGGGAGAAATTTATTGATGAAGTAGCAACTGTGACACTCAGGTACTACAATCTGAGTTGTTTTAGTTCTATATATAAATGCCTTGAGAACCACTGCGGAAAAAAACTTAAAGGCCTTTGTCAAGTTACTGAGTGAAATTTCAGAAACATTCACATCATCAAATCATTCACATTCAAGCAAAGACGCTTTCACCGTTATCTAAAAATGCACGAGAAAATAAAGAATTAAAGAAAAAATCAATTATCTTTTTTATAAATACAAGTTCTATATATATATATATTTTACATTATTAAATATTTTGAGAAGTTATTTAAAAGTTCTATATCTCTGGGTTAGTATATTATATAGAATTGTTATATAAGACAAAGGAGAGATGTTAGAGAAAATGAAAGAAAAGAATAAGGGCACTCCAGTGTTTCAGCATTTGATGATTTGAGTCACTGTTGTAGAAATGAAAGATCTTTGTCAAATGCACTGGGTGCAATTTCAGAAACATTACCATCTGAAATTGGCCGTGCATTGGACAACAACCTTCAATCGTGCCCTAAAGCATAAGAAGAGGAAAATTTTGAAAATATTTTGTCGTTTTTTTAAATACACAATGGAGAGAAGTTTATAATATCATTAAAATGGTATTAATTGTTAATTGTGTTTTAGAGAATTTATATTTAAGCCCGAATATTTGAAGTAAAGGTGTTAATAGAATGTATATTAATTACTATAGAAAGTTTAGAAAAAAAGAAAGAAAAGACAAGGGGGATGGGGGGCACATCAGCGATTCATCATTTGATGATTGAATCACTGTTGAAGAAATGAAAGACCTTTATCAAATGCACTGGGTGCAATTTCAGAAGCATTACCATCTGAAATTCACAGTGCACTTAACAACGACCCTTGCGCCGTGCCCCCGAGAAGAATAAAACAAAGATTAGAAAGAGAAATCAAGAAAAAGAGAAAGTAGCTAGTAGGGTTAGTGAAGGCCTAGATTAATTACTTTACATGAATCCTTTACTAAAATTGCTAAAATGTTTGGGAAAACCCCTCGGTTGTTATCAAATTAAAGAGAGATTCATTTAGTAGTTAAAAAGCAATCAAACAGTCGCTAAAAATTGGCTCTAGAAAAGAATTAATAATTACAAATTTTCTCTATCCATGTTAATAACGTTAATTAACATTTAAAATAGAATAATATATACAAAGTAACCTTCTCATGTTGGTAAAGCGTTTTATGGCACAACTTCGGGTTACATCGCCATTTTTTCCAGGAAAATCATATAAGGCCTTTCAGAAAGGAAGGCCTGGTATATGTTAGGTTTTAACAAAACATTCTAGCTGAGTTTTCCAATTATACTCATGGAAAACACTTAAGGAAGTTGTACCTTTTATAGAAGGTATATAAGGATTCAGACAATAACTCTGAAAGATATTTGATACACAGTGACCTTTATTGAAGACACACGAGATAACCAAGTGTGGAAAAAATTGCTTCTGTCTCCTTAAAAAAACAGACGACCGGCGATATTAAAGACGTTCCACTTCCTTATGTTTTGTCCATGATTTTAACTCCTTAACTTCCAATGTCTTGTAGAATAGAATCCAACAATTGCTATCTGACGATACCGACGAGATAATAGCCAATCTCATGTGAGACTGGCGCAGAGATCATTCCATTTTAACAGAGCAGTAACAAAGATAATACAATATTTTTTTTGTAACAAATAATTTACTGGCAATGTG